TTGGAAAAGTGCACCATGAATACATTCTAATTGTATTTCCAAATAAATATGTTATAGAACAGGTGACTCTTGGTCCATGGACTGTTGAGAACTGGGCTGTGCAAGCAGTGGGCAAGCATGTGAAGCTTCATTTGCACATGTGCAGGAACTAGACTGCACATGCAGTACCCTCCTGCCTACTGCCGCCACCTTTCCATGGAGTCAGAAATGTTGGGAACTACTGCTATAGAAAGTAAATGTTTCCCCTATCCAGTTGTTTCTGACTCTAGGGGGCAGTGCTCATCTGTTTCTTAGCCGAAGGCGCCAGAATTGTCCAAAGACATTTCCATGATCATGTGGTTAGCATGACTATATGTCAAGGCACATGGAACACTGTTTTCTTCCCACCAAAGTTATATCTATTTATGTACTCTCATTTGCATACTTTCAAACTGCTAGGTGGGCAGGAACTGGAGCAAGTAGTGGGAGCTCACCTCGTTACCTGGCACTCAAGTCTCAAACCTGGCCTGTCAACTTTCCAACTGACAAACTCAGTTGCTAGCCATCACTCCCCCTCCTATGCTATATGCTATAGAACAGTTGGGTAATTTGAAAGAAGACGATGATATGTTTCTAAAACATAAACACACTGAGTTCAGTGTCACTGAATTCAGTAGCATGTTTTTACTTTTTGGGTTGTCAAGAAAAAAATGTTGCTCTAAACCCAAAGGTGTTTTTTCAAAAGGCAACTGGACTTTCTTGGTTTTTTCCTTGAAAATGTTTCACTTTTCATACAAGAAGTTCAGTTGTTGCTCTAAAGCTTTCCTACTTCCTTAGTGAGAATCTATACAAAGCACTTATTTCACAAATTCATATTTGTCAGGGACTGCAACATGAATGTTGGGACTGCAAGAATTTAATGAGGGTGGCTATCTGGAAGGTGTGTACCACTTTCCATAGGCCATTCTGCCAATTGGATCTTTTTGTGTAATAAAATTGGGAAATAGGAAAGAGAAGCATCTGAAGAAGCAGCTCTAGTAGGAAAACACCCACGGCTTTGTGACTATAAATATCCTTTCACAACATTCATTCTTATATCTTTACTTAAAGGTAAAGTCCTACACTTAGGCAAGAAAAACCAAAAGTATACATATAGACTGGGTGAAGCCAGGCTCAATAGCAGTAACTGAGAGAGGGATCTTGGAGTCTTAGTGGACAACCAACTAAATATGAGCCAGCAGTGTGCAGCAGCAGCCAAAAAAGCTAATGCAATCCTAAATTGCATTAACAGAGAAATACAATCAAGATCAAGTGAGGTACTAATACCACTCTATAAAGCCTTAGTAGGACCACACCTAGAGTACTGCATCCAGTTTTGGTCACCACATTATAAAAAAGATATTGAATGCTAGAAAAAGTACAGAGAAGAGCAACCAGGATGATGAGGGGACTGGAGACTAAAACATGAAGAACGGTTACAGGAACTGGGCTTGGCTAGTCTAGTAAAGAGAAGGACCAGCGGAGACATGATAGCAGTCTTCCAATATTTGAGGGGCTGCCACAGAGAGAAGGGGGTCAAGCTTTTTTCTAAAGCACCTGTAGGCTAGACAAGGAATAATGGATGGGAACTGAACAAGGAGAGATTTAACCTGAGAATAAGGAGAAACTTTCTGTCAGTGAGAACAATCAACCAATGGAACAGCTTGCCCTTGGAAGTTGTGGGAGCACCATCACTTGAGACTTTCAAGAAGAGATTGGACTGCCATTTGTCAGAAATGGTATAGGGTCTCCTGCTTGGGTGGTGGGTTGGACTAGATGACCTATAAGGTCCCTTCTAACTCTGATTATCTGTATCTGTTATCATTCAGAATAATATCCAACTCTGATTTCACAGGTTGTCCTTATGTCATGCCAGCTTTTGTAAGAGTAGGATAAAAATATATATTTCTGCATTTAACAATTGAAGCTTAATTATGATTTGGAGCATGAAAATTATGTAGAGAATACTTTTAACAAAGCAACAGTGGCAAAATTCCATGAAGTTTAATAATTTCCACAACTGTCCAGAGTTTTGTTTTCCTTATCTTATTTGCTGGCTTCTCAATATGTCTCTTTTCTAATGAATGTTTTACAAATTTGCCCCAAAAAGTGAAAAAAACCATGGGTATTTCAAAAATAAAACAAAGCATGGTGATTCCTTGACAATTCAGACTGGTTTGAGAATATTCTACAAAAACTTAAGTCACTTAAGTTTTTCCTTGATACTTCTGTGCCTTTCAATAAGAATGCCAGTCAGTGCTTATTAAAGTTGTGGGTTAGGAGTGATAGTAATTGGTTTATTTAAACAGTAGGAACAGATACCATTCATTGAAGTCACTCACACTACTCAGCAGCTGGCCGTGGCTTTCAGTCATTCCTATCCCTAGGCCATATTTGACCAAGAGGCGAGAAGCACTGTATTCTATTACCAATCCCCTTTGGGAACCATTCCCTGTGAAGTAAAATATGAAAAGCATTCTAAAGCTCTCTCCAACTCAGGAAGAGAACATGCCTTCCCTGGGCCATATAGGGGGGCATGGTAGTGTTTCCAGAAAATGCTCTTTAAAAGTAAACATTGAAGTGGCACCTTATACAAATCCACAACATCTTCATAAATAAATTTGTAGGTGGTTATTTTTGAAAAGAGCACTTAATAAATGTAAGTGTAATATTCTTTTTTGGGAGAAACCTGGAGAGAGATTATTATAAAAGATACCTTTACATAGAAGCAATCTTTGATTCGAATAAATATGTTCAACAAGTTAAAGCTAACATTTATTTTGCAGACTTCTTTGTAGACAAATCATGCTACATTATGAATGCTATGAATGAAGTTATGTCAGAATCATAATTCTCAATAACTTGGTCAGTCAGTGGGCAGTGGGGGATGGGAGCCAAGGTAAAAAAAAATCAAGACAGTGGTCATAATCCTTTTGTATATTTCTTCATATCGCACACAAGAAAGGAGTGGAGCTCTGGTTATAAGATCATGGCTGCTGTTTTCACTTTTTTTGTTCAATCACATTTTCAGGCCTCAAAGCATTCATTAATCTACTTTAGAAAGCATAGATTTCAATAAAAAGCAAGGATCCCACCCTATTAGTTTCAATTTATAATCCAATCCTGACACATATGATAAGAGTCAATCACCATACTCCAAGCTGAGGAATTCTCTAGGGGAGAACTTGAGAAGAACAACATAAATATGAAATTATAGAATAATAAAAGATACATAGAAGCAGAATAACCATCCTTGGGAGAATAAGCCACTGAAACAAAATGACATTATGGGTCAGCAGAACTGGGAAATGATTCCAATTAATTAATTCCTAGGTCCAGCATTTGGTAGAAAGACATAAGATTATAATGTTAATCTAAGAGCCAGTTTGCTAGTGGTAATATAGTTAAGGGGCAGTCTATTCAGATTCAAGAATATGGATTCAGTGGAGTTATTGATTGGATTCAGTGGAGTATTCTGAGTTATTTTAGGGAAGGAAACAAATAAGGAAGAAAGAAAAGCTAATATTTTAAAATTGCAGATGAATATTTGGGAAATGAAAGAAAATAAAAACAAAGAAGAAAGGAACAATTTTAATGTAAGGGAAAAATACAGCAAGTTGCAATTGGAAAATGAACAAAAAGATCTCAAGAGGATTAAAATATTGGTACCATATAATCTTAGTTTGTGTTGAAAAGAATCCTTTGTATAGATTTCTGTGCAGAATACATTGAGTCATTAAAAAAACCAATCACCCTTGACTTCCAATATTGGCTAATTCAGATAAAATAATTTATCTAAAGCCAACTAGCACTTGAACACCAGACACAGGTCCTGTGGTAATTAAGATAAATACTTGTTCAATATATTTAAGACCAAGGTGCTAGTCTAGCAGTTTTTTATGCAATATTGCTAAAAATATGTATTGTCAAGGAATGCTTGATCTGCATATATAAAATGTTAAATCTCTTCCAAACACATAATACTATAAGGCACATTTCATAACTTTTTCCTTTTTAAATTTGACCTTCAACGTGCCCAAATCTTCAACCTCACAATGACCAAAAAAACCCAACCCATCTATATTATAGAGGAAATACTATTCTCCCTTGTCTTGTGTCCATAATTTCACAGTCTCTAGCAATCTGTTCATATAACATATTCTATGGCTTCTCTTACATTTTTCCTTTTAATCATGATGTCATGCCATAATGGTGGAAATGGAAACCAGGAAATGATACTTTGGTTTATGTTTCTGTGTATCAGGGCATACATTGTCTATAAAGACATTTTTTAATTATGATTATTGGTAAAGGTGAGTAGGTGCATGTATATGATTCACAATCATTTATATTTTACTAATATTGAATCAGAAGTTTCTGAAATTAATTTCATATCATTCTTTCAATGGCTGGACAAATTACTATAATATGTCTCTTTCTTGGGTTGCCCTAGCCAAGTGATTATTGTGAACAGAGTACAAGTTCATTTCATTTTCAAAGAAATATAAGAAGTCAAGAAGTTTCAGTAGATGGTTGACAGCAGAGCTCCTTGGCATCTCCAATTAACAGGACAAAGTACCAGTGTTGACAAAGATCTTACCCTGAGCTTCAGAGACAAAATAGACAACACTAAACTTGATGGGTACTGTGCAGTTCCTAAAGCAGACTTCAATATGTTTTTCCCATCAGCAGTATGCGTCTTTACATAAAATGTTATTATTCAACTGTTTCACTATATTTGCAGCTTATCGCAAACTAAGACTAGAATTTTCATAGTTTTAAATTAATTCATACTATTTAGGTACAATCCTATGGGACAATATTCTGAAGGTAAATTCTTCAGACAATAGTAGGAATTACCTTGTAAAAGACATAGGACTATGCTATTGGTTTGTTGTACTAGTTTGACTGATTATTAGCAAACAAATTCAGTGAAAGAACAGGAAAAGTCCATCAATTAGTTATTTCATGTGAAAATAAACTCATCTGAGTGCATTGATCTGTAAATATCCACCTACTGATTGAAACATTACTGGACATAAAAATGTCCGTTTGTATGCACAGACTGAAATAAGCAGGTATAATCTTAGCAGAAGTTGGCATGGTAACAGTGTCTTGATCCTCCTGGTCCACCACATATGAATTAAAAGAGTGAGAACAAGAATATAATGAAAAGAAATACAAATGAAAGAAGCAAGATTAGAAAGTCCCAAGTGAAAACAAGAATGTGCCCCAGAGATGAGCAATGAGGTCAGGAATCAAGCTATATCATATTTCAATCAGGTTTTAGGCACATCACTACTCTGGTTGCAAAACTGATATGTCCTTTCAGATTTTAGTCACTCTGCTTTCACAATGACATATTGCACCATTTCCAAAGCTGTAGAAGCCAGCTTATCTTCTTGGCTCTTCAAGAGCTCTAATAGTTTTTTTCTAATGATACATAATATGACAGCTGTAGAACTATGCTAATGTTGAAGAGATCAACATTATTTAAAAAGGGAAATACCCTAAACTTCCTTCCCTAATGTCCTTCTTTTTCCAAAACTTGCTATAATCTTCCTTAAAACATATTTATAGTTGCAAGAAGTCGGAGATCAGAGGTAATTCATGACAGTGTGTCATATTTAATCTACCCTGAAGGCCCCATTCTATGAAAGTATCACAACTGAACAAAAAAAAAAAGCAAGCTATCTGTGCTTAACGTATACAAATTATCCTCTTACGGTGATAGGAATTAAATGAAACACAGCCTTATTATCTGATTGTCTGCACAAGGATTAATGTTTACATAGATATATTCTCAAAATCATGTACTTCTGCTGGCCTATCTGTAATCTTAGCTGAGAATCAAGGAATTGCCACTTTGATTTTACAATTTTGCATATTCAACTTTTGATTGTGGGAACATAAAAAGAAAGTTATACATTCCCACTCTCATGATGTAGTACAAAAAGTTAACAGTAGGATTCACCCCATTATAATGAGGAGGCCTAACAGAATTTTTATAAGGATTCAGTTGCAGAATTGAGTCAAATCTATATTGTATACACACTGAATTCATGAGTAATAATATTGCCATTTTCCAGAAATAATTGGTTGGCTATACTCAGGCATTTGGATTAGCATATTTTCGTTCCCTAACAGTAGAACTTTTTGAAAACTATGTTCTAATTGATAAAACTGCAGGAACAGAATCCACTGAGTATGTGTGTATCAAAGCACTGCCTAACATACTACACACACTAGTACATGACGGTGATAGAATATCCTATGTGCCTACTTGAATAATAGTAATAACATTATTGTATACATAAATGCATACAATTTTTGCAAGTTAATATTCATTTTAATTCATGTAAAATAATTGATGTATGCACAGTTACCTGAAGTAATTATCTCTGAATTTATTACATCATGATAAATGTGCATAAATTTTCAGGCTTAAGCCTTTTTGGGACCCCAATTTTATGTGATATATTTGAAAATTATTAAGTAAGCTGAGGATCATTTTTGGCTGTCAGGTTATGATTACAAAGAATTCATGACAAGTGAACAGTGTGTTGTATCTATATTTTACTCTTCAATGACTGTCGGTTTCCACACCTGTGCTGTGACACCAACTTTCTTGGCTGAGAATTTTGGCTTGGGAACAGAAAATACAGGAGATGCTGCTGGTTCTTGCTTCAAAAATGTAGGACAGCCCATTGATGTATAGGGCTCAATTACAGGACTAGAAGCACTTGATGGGAAGAATGGTTGTGAGCTGTAGGCTGGTACAGAATATACTGAAGAAGCTTGAACATTAGAGGGAGAACCAGCATTGAGTACTCTTGATGGTACAGCTTGTTTCAAGGCAGACACTGAATCGATCTTTGAAGGATGTTTGGGAAGGAGATTTTCCTTAGTATCAAACGGAGGTTGGAAAGTAAATAAAGATGCATTAAGCTGGTATGGCTGATGCTTCATCACTTCTAAGGAGCTTAATTGTTTCTTAGATTTTTTCTTAGTAGTTTTGGTAGCTCCTGGTTGCTGTGACTGAGACTTGATAGCAGCAAGAGGATAAGATGGACACTGAATGGGATTATAAGCTACAGGAGGCGGTGCTCGAACATTAGATGAATATTTCCAAGATGCTGGTAATGAAGGAGTTGGGGATGAAGGCCGGGGCCGATTGGCCTGCACAGTTTCTGAGTCTACTACATACTTTTCCATCCGTGATTGCCTTTTAGCAAAGAGCTGAGCCCCCTTACCACTCATAGCTGGAGGCATCTCAAAAGCTGGCCCCATTCCACCAGCAAGGACAGCATTTCCTAATGGAGTGATGGGTGTTGTTTTGGGGGTATAATTTTGGTGGGGTGATGAAACTTGAGGACCCTTAAAAGAAGACTCCAGGTGAAGAGTACCAGGAGGCTGTGGAGGTTGTGGAGGCTGTGGAGGGGGATAAGCTGGTTGTGCTACTTTGATGGCTGCTGGGCTTGCTACTTCTGGAGATTTTGGAACTGGAAAGATGGGAGCTTGAGCAACAGCCACAACTGGAGGTGACCAGACTGGTGAAATAGGTGTTGTGGCAGTCGGAGAAACCTTTACTGAGGGCTTGGGAGCAACTGGGGGTGGGATCTTTTGTTTGGCAGCCTGGATTTGCATGAAATTGCAGGCCTCTGCTCCCAAACTGAGGTAGTCTTCTTCAGGACCAGATTCAAAGCCACCAGTGGCAGGTTTTTTGCCTTCTGTATTCTGTACGAGGGACAAAAGAGCAGGATTTGGACTCATTTTGGGGGCTTCTTTAAATGTAAACATAGGCTTTGCAGTGCTTCTTCTCTTGGCCTCCTGTAATATTCCAGTTCTTATTGCAGGCACAGCAATCCGTTCATCCCTGGATGCAATCTGCTCTGTTGATTCTGTTGGAGACCACAGTGTTGGCTGACTCATGCTTGTGGCCGCTGGAGTCAAAACAGTTCTATATAATGTTTCAGGTGGTGGGCTAACTGAAGTATAAGGAGGTGGGGCAGGTAGCTCGGAGGGAAGAGCCACCATGCTTCTTGGGGGTGAAAAGGGAACCGCTGCTCTGTTCTGAACACCAGGGAAAGGCTTGGCTGTTCTGTTTGAAGTAGATAAGCTAACAGCTTCTGGAGGGGGATGTATCATATTTATCTCTGGGACAACCCTGATGCCATTTTGCTGAACTATTGTTCTAGGACTATGGTTCATTTCTATGTAGCTTTTGCTGATGTGGCTTTTCTGCATTCTGGCAGATTCTTCTTGTTTTGCTTGATAAAAGGAAGAACTCATATTTTGGATGGTCTCTGTTGAAGTGGCCTCTTGGTGTGCCTCAATTCTACGCATACTCTGCATCTTCACTGCTTCTTGTTCAGCAGTGACCTGGTCTACCCTTTGACGTCTTTTGGCAAACATGAGTGCCCCTTTGCCCTTGGTCTCTGGAAGCAGCTGTGACATCTCGTCCCCACGTTTGGGTGTTTTTTCAATCTCAAGTAGTCCAGTATCCCAATCAAATGTCACAATGCGTTCTTCTTTATCCAGGTCAGAGAAGAAATCTTCATCAATTTCTGACTCACTTGTGCCAAATAAAGTTACTTCAAAAGTGTTCTCCTTCTCACCTTCTTCACCCTCGTCTTCTTCACCTTCGTCTTCGTAACGTTCTAGTTCCCCAGTGCCGTAGCTAACTAAAGTATATTTTCTGGCCCTTTGGCGACGCTTCTTAAACATCAACACTCCTTTGGAATTGGGATTTGGAGCTGCTGTCAGTAAGAGAGCAATACTTTTACATTTAGACTTAGCTTCCTTCACCTGCTTCTCTGATAGGCTCTCACTCCTTCTCAGCCCTGTAGGAAAAGAGTAAAGAACATATTTTAGTGCATAATATGACAACAATTTTAACAATAGCTATGTGGGTTATAAGACTGTAATACAATTCTTTCTTTCTTTAGAGTCTGATTCCTCTCCCCTACAAAGGAAGCATGGGCAGGGCATTAAGATTAATCTTTTCCCACAGTTGCAACCATGACCATTCCATAGCAAGCATTCCTTCATTAGTGACATTCTTTGATTAATCTTTTCTTCTCACAGATTTGCTATCTCAACTTACACAAAATTTTGATGTTATATATTTACCCAGAAAGAAGCAGATATATGGACCAAGTAAGAGAGAAGATAAATAAGTGGGGCATATTTTTATGATGGATGTCAACTTGGATCTGCAGTGCTTTGAGAGGTTTTAGGATTTAGATATACTAATTCAAAGAAGACTGATTTATGTAATGATTAATAATTCATACAGGAAATTTTCTTGCTGAAACATTAGCTGGATGGAAATAATCACATTTAAGTAATTTATTACTAAATTTTAATCTAGTACAAGTTCTCCTTCTCTCCAACTTTGGGCTAGTAGGCTTTAGGATGAATTAATTTTTTTTTCTGGTCTGTGCACTATTAGAATTTAATTTTTAAATTTTAGTTTAAAAAAAATAAAAAATGTAAATTATTTTGTTAATTTTTATTTATTTTGTGCCTTTGGGTTGGTTTCTGACTCCTAGAAACTGGTTGGACAAGCCCCTGCAGTTTTATGCTAAGATTTTAGTCGTAGTTTGCCATTGCCTTCTTCCTAGGGCTAAGAGAGAGGGACTGGCTCAAAGTCACCCAACTAGAAGGGTTTCATTGGAGTCATTTTTTAAGGAGAAGAATCCTACAGTAATCTCCATGAAATTACACTGTTTAATTATTGTCTATTACCAACTTTTGAATAAAAGGGAGCAGAATATAATAAATCTCTTCTAGTAGAGACTTCAGAGGTAATAACATAAATATACTATGAGATCAGACCACAATATATAGATTCTAAGTGGTAGCAGTGGTAACAATGGGACTTAAAATGTGTGTGAGTGTATGTATGTGTATGAATACCTAAAATAAAGTAGGAATATTTTATGCCGTTCCTAACCAATAAATATAAAAAATAAATCTTGATTATTTGGAATTTTGAGAACATGTGGGAACATGTGGGATTTGGAGAGGCAGTTTGTTTGTGTGTACATGGTATATGTATATGTATGTGAGTTTGTTGATAAAATTCAGTCATGTGAGAATAATCAGCCTCAAGGCATCAATTGATCAAAATGCTACCTGTCAACTCTTCTCTGCTTACTTGTCTTCATTTTCTGGATAGTATGCTACTTTTTTTTTTTTAATGAAGGAGTGGACTGTGGCCACCCACAATTTAAATATTCTTACGGGCCTGGTGTATATCATAGAAGCATTCTTCAATTGATCCTGAAACTGCATAGTTGCATATTCCCCTTCTTTTAATTTTTAAATAGTATGAAATATCTAAAAGGCCAGGAGGGAGAAGGAAGCTTGCTAACACCAATGGTTCCATACTACGTCTCTAGGTGACATGTTGAGGTTTCCAGACTTAGGGCAAGGAAATGACAACACGCAATGGATCCTTCGCCATTTAGTCTGGCATTTTCTTTAGACTCTAGAGAGAATATTTTTGCCAACATGTATTCTTAGAATGAACAGTATGTCCCTGTCAAGAATATATTCTGGAATACCAGATGGCTGACAATGGTGGACTGGAAGACATGTAAACTAATTGATGCTTTATTTTCATAAAATTGATTTATTTTCATTTATTTTCATAAGCAATCTGTCCAAACGCTTTATGAATGCAATGTGATTGCTGATTGGAAATATACTTGACTTTAGAAAGTTTAAAACTAAACTAATATGGAACAAAAATACTAAATAGTGTGAGTTTATAATCTAAAATGAACATAAATTTTATATATAATCAGGCTGCTAATAACATTTTTAAGAGCTGAAGAGGATAGAAACTTGATCCTGTTTAAATTATCCTGTTTTAATCTACATTGCCTGTTATACAGTATTACATTTTCACATTTTAGTTCAAGTATCACCCATTCTGCAATGCAAAGATATTTGTCCAAATATTAGGAAATAGAATCTAAGCTGCACTACCTGGGAATCAGTCCTATGGACAGGAACATACTTTTGAGAACACAAACAAAGAACTGGCTCATAAAATCCCCATATATTTGGCAAAAAATAACAGAAGCAGATAATTGTAATGTAATTCTTATATTAGAGACATATATTATATTAAATCAGAGCTCTGTCAAAATTATAAAGTGTAGGATAGTTATTTATTTGATTTTATACTGCAAAACATGTAGATGCTCTGTTGGTTTATTCAGCTGTAATCTGCTTGAGAGTTAGACTAAGGTTAGAAGTATAAAATGGCACCAGCTCCACCCCAACCGGTTAGGCTATTTCGGAATTTGAATCTCTTCCATGGTAGTGAAAATGTAATAATCATACATTATAGGTAACAATTTGCTGTTGCTTCATAAAAATAAAAACCAGTTATCCTAACAGTTGCCTCTTTTGCTTCATAAACCATCTCTATCGTTACATTGCTATGTTATAGATATAGCCACATAAATATACTCATAATCACTTGCAAGGTGTCCTTGAAATTGTGAGTACTTCCTAAATTAATTTGTGACATGGAAATCTATCTTTATCTTTTCTCTTTTCATGTTAAGTTTTGGAATCCTAAGTGCATTCAAACTGAAGTATCTCCACGTATCAGTTGAAAAATATTAGTATGATTGCTTTGTTCTACTCATTTCTCTTTAAAGTAATGATGTAATCTGTAAGGCATAAGTAGGCCAAAATGCCAAGGTTGTGTGCTCTTCCTTTATACATCATTTAATATGACATAAATATGTGGCTCACATATGGACACATTATATCTAAGCAACAGTTTAATCCACAGGTTACTACAAATGGCTGTTTTCCTAAAAATACGCATATGAAGGAATTTGCAATGGGTGAACATGCCTAACCTGGCATGCTCTGTAAAGATAGTTCAGGGCTAGAGTATGTCATCATGCCTTGGCCATTTTGCAATGAAATCCCTTGATGGAATTCTTGAAATAGTCAGAAATGATTGCCCAGATGCCAACAATAGAATTGAATAAACAAGCAGATGCTCTGACAAAATATTTTTCAAGTAAGTCTTTTCAAATTTTATTACTGCTTGGTCCTTAGGTTACTTCCAGTTGCAGTCTTTGCCTAGATTTTCTACTCATTTCCAGGTATAGGAAGCAGAAGGAATAGTAAGTTCACTTTACAAACTGGGGAAGCCTTGCAAAACTGAAAAGATCATATAACTAGCCAAAAATACACATGCTGGTGTCTATCAAAGTAACCTTCAGCAAGCATCATCAAACCTCACTACTTGGTCCTTTCCTTTCCTTTCCTTTCCTTTCCTTTCCTTTCCTTTCCTTTCCCCTTCCCTTCTCTTTCCTTTTTTCTTTCTTATTTTCTTCTGGGATTTTTTTAAAGTTAAGTTTTAAGCCATTCTTAAATTATCTAATAGCCTTTTTATACAAACATATCCAGAAGAAAAAAGTTAGTCAATATCTCAGACACAAGCAGGTTTGTGTTACAAAACGTGCTCTGCAGTTAGAGTTACAAAGCTTATCGCCTGCTTGTCATAATTCATTTTAACTGAGTTTTCAAAAACAGTTTGAAAGCATTAATAAAGAAATGGCAGTTGTTTAAGGAAGAGTGAAGAAAGAAGAAAATGAAGACTTATTTAGGTAATCCCTCTTTGAAATATTTATTGCTACTAAGCAGATGGTTGCAACTCTTCTCTGCCAGATTGCCTTTCACAAAGTATAACCCTCATGCTCTGCCACCCAGATTAGCTACGCTGTACTTACTGGCGTGCCTTGCCCGGTGTTTGTGAGGTCTGCTGGGTTCCTTTTCGGAGGGCTGTTCGTCTTCCCCCTGCTCTGTGCCTTCTGATGAGATTCCAAAGGAGACTACAGAAGGAGGTGCTTCTGACTGCCCTCCTTCCACTTGAGCCTCTACACACCCCTTTTCGGCTAGAAATCTGGATGCTTCTGTTGCCTGGTCAGAACAGTCCAGAATCACTTCAACCTTAGTTAGAGAGGGTTCCTTTCTCTCACCTTCATGAGTCTCTTGGATCTCTTTGCCACCAACAATCTGGACTATCTTGCCTGTCCACTGGGCAGAGGGCTCTTTTAGCCAGCTAATCGCTTCTTGTGTTAGGACTGATCCTGTCTCCAGAGGCTTGCTCTCTTGGACCTCCACAACAGTCAGACCAGACCCAGTGCTGCTGCTTTTATTCCTGTCAGGTGGAAAGGACAACTGTAACTCAACTGTAGAGCCGGGCTTGCCTCCAGTAAAGGCAGATGCCTCCGTGCAGTGTACTTTAGGGGCTTCAATCACTTTGGGAGGGATTTTGTAGCAGGGGATTATTTCTTGCTTTGCTCCAGAAAAATCCACAGTAGTTTGCCTTGTATTTGTTGGGAGTGTTTCCTCAGTTGGCACTATGATCTGCAATTCCTGGTGGGGACTTGGCATTGCTGTTCTGATTTGTAGGGTTGTGCTTTCTTTATATTCCTTATTTTTAATGTCAGTGAGGTTTTCGTTTTCTAGCTCAGAACTTAAAGTTTCATTTGCCCCATTGGAGAATCTGCAGATATACAAATATACAACAAATTGTACAAAGTGTGCATAATTTGATATTCATGATCTTGCAAACCATTTTATCTATTAGTATTATATATAGAAAACCGCTAGTTTGGTGTAGTGGTTAAAGCATCAAGTTAAACCTGGGAGGCCACATTGCAATGGCTAATATAAATATCATCTGGAAAAGCAGATATATTGATATAAATATAAAAAGCAGGCTAGTTAGAACAATGGTCTGTAATGATATATGGGAATGAGAACTGGACATTAAGAATGGCTGATCGAAGAAGTGTTTTTGCAAATCCTATTACAGGCTATGCTAATCTTACTATACATCTAAGGCTACAATTCTGGATGATAATGTGCACATTTTCTACCTGTCTGCCTAGATTTTTTTTGCCACAGGTGAATTTAAAATAAAATTAGAAGCGGGTCATAAATCTGGAGAATCTACAGCTATTATATTACATGGAACAGTCATTCGAAAAGTTATATATGATATATGAAAGGCACGTTGCTCAGTATTGCTGTGATACTTCACAACTAGTTTGTACCAGTTGCTGGAAATACAGTTTGGCTTTGGACCAATCCATAACATTTATTCAAACATGACGGAACTAGCATGAAAGACAAACATATTAATTTATGAAGTCCTGTGATTGTAGATGGTTTTGATCACATTATATTACTTGGACAATCAGTGCTTGAGCTCCATACTTACACATAATAAATTCATAAACATTTCCTTGTAAGAAGAAAAACTGGGTATAAGCCAGATACTTGTTAATCTTTATTGGTAGCTTGGGTTCTTAGGTTGTATATGTGCAGGGAAAAATCAAGAGAGAGAGAGAGAGAGAGAGAGGGAGGAGGGAGGGAGGGAGAGAGAGAGAGAGAGACGGAGACTGGATTTTGAAAATCTGTGTGTGTGTGTGTGTGTGTGTGTGCGTGCGTGCGCGCGCGTGCGCGTGTAGACCTATTTTCTCTACAGTCTCACACACAGTAAGGCTGAAATATTTGGATCTTATTGGTAAGAATCATGTACTTTCCTCAAATAATTACTTATCCTGTAAGGAATTTGATCAGAAAACCCAACTTGCTCAATTCTCCACAAATTATATTTGCTATTTGGTAAAGATGACCAGGAGATCATTTCCAGTTCTTTTACACTCATTATTCTCTCTCTGTCAAAGTGTCTGGAGCCTTCTTATATGAAGGCTGCACCAATTCAAAACTGATATCACCAGTGGTGGGATTCAATTTTTTTTATTACCGGTTCTGTGGGCGTGGCTTGGTGGGCGTGGCAGGGGAAGGATACTGTAAAATCTCCAGTCAGAGGTGGTATTTGCTGGTTCTGCAAACTACTCAAAATTTCTACTACCGGTTCTCCAGAACTGGTCAGAACCTGCTGAATACCACCTCTGGGTATCACCCATGAGGCCCTGGGCTTTTATTAAATTCAGAAATCTTCCAGTTCAGCTCCTGCTGCAGAGAAACTGCTGAAAACAGTTTTGCAATATCTCCTTTGTAGCTCCCCTGAAAATCATTCTTGTGATGTCCCCAAAGAGAAGCCCACACAGAAGCCCATTTTTAATTTGTTTGGGTACTTTAAGACAAGAAGAAATGTGCATTAGCACAAAAGTCAGCTTAGAATTGGGAAAAGGCTATGTAAAGCCATTCTGTGGAAGGGACTTTAACGTAGATTTCCTAAGCACCTTTTCTCTGTCCTGACAATATAGGTACTAATATTTTGCTAATATTACTTTGATTATGCAATACAGTAGGAATTAAATTGGCCAAGAAGACATGGGTAATTCTTATTTCTCCTCCCCTGTTATATAAGTTAAGTATCTGCACAGTACTTAAGATGGGTGCAATTGAGATGCAATTATTGAACTGAGATGTAATTATTGAACTGTTAATGCTTCAATGGGAGGGAAGGAGGGAGGGAGGGACGAAGGAAGGAAGAAAGGAAGGAAAGAAGAAGGAAGGAAGGAAGGAAGGAATCTAAGAACTGTAATTTAGAAGAGAAAACCAGGAAGACTTCATATCATGATACATTACCTTATGATTAGCTGATATAATTTCATTAATAAATGTCGCATTACAGAAATACCGTCTATCTCTACAAACTTGATTTATACCATAGCTTTGAAATATCATTACACAGAATAAAGTTCCACACAGTAATAACATATGAAAGAACATTAATCTTATTAATCATTGCTCAACTTGCAATGACGCATAACCTGACATTTATTTATTTATTTATTTATTTATTTATTTAGTAGTTACCCACCACAAACCAGAAACCTGAATAACAAAAGATAATTTAATTCTTTCGGTCCCATGTATGGGGAAAAAGTTTTGCTATTTAGGTTCCCAAAACTGCCTGGTCTAGCACATAAAACCTGCAAATTACATAAACTAGTTTGAAATTTTGCATCTTCTCAATCTCAAATAATTTTATGTTGCAACTGATAGCACAATCAGTCCTGCTCATGTTTACTCAAAAGCCATTTAGTAGATTTAAGGCTACAAGCTTAACTCTTTTAGTTAATTACCATTTCATTATTCGTGTAAGCAAGTTTGCTCTAACAAATATGTAGTCATTGTGGTAAGTGAATTTATAGTAGCATTAGCATAAAAAAGGAGTGTAGATTGCATAAACTTCCATAAGGGTCTACATGCCTTTTTCTCTGAAAAAATAAACTGAAAAATTGTTAGTGTCTTGGGTGATGGTGCAAGTCAAAGAAACAGAACTCATATCAACAATTTTGTGTTGAAATTCTTTTCCGGGTGTGTTTCTGGATTTAGTTCAAAATGATTGTGACTAGCTACTTAAGAATCTGCTTACAGATACCTAAACTTTCCTGGGAATTATGATCTGTTAAGTTCACAATCTAAAAAATCACCTCTAGGCAAGATGGGTGGCGTATAAGTTTCATAATAAATAAAATTAAATACATAATTAAAAGAATGTAATCCATAGGCTAATGGTTGAGGTTGTACTATATCAGGATAAGAAATAAATCTGAATTCCTTATACCTTTTGATAAGCATTTGAAGAGTGTCAGTCAGGCCTTCCATCAGAAGAAGAACTTCCGAATAAGTCAACTCAGTGCAAGGTTTGCCATTGATGGATATCACTTCATCTCCTTCACATAACCCAGCCTTGGATGCTTTGCTCTTATTTCGAATCTAAAACAGATTTGAAATTTGAAAAAAAAAATGAAATATTATTCATCAACCAGTGTGTTTGGCTTATTTAGAGAAAATAGACCTGTCAAAACATCTGAGTTGATGTTTTTCTTTATAGTGATGAAATAGTTTCCTTATACATTTTTAACCCATAAAAATACCTTTGTTACAATTATCAGTTTTAAATTTAGATTTTAACAATACATAATTGCGCAGGATTATTTTTTTTTAACAAACCAAGAATCTCAGAATGTATTTCTGCACTGGACTATGCTTTGTCCTGCATTCAAAATGCTAATGAGAGATTTGTCATATGAATGAACGGATGATTCAATTAGTTCATTAGTATAATAGTACTTCAATATATATTTAAATTCAGCTACATATAAGAAGACTGGGAGAATGGACTATGGAGCTAACTGGTCATTCACATAGCATATTAATCTCACCATTGCAAGTTAAAGAGAAATGTAAATGTTAATTTAAAGAAATAACTGAATATTTGAATATCACTTTAATAGTACAATAGGAATATCTGTAACCAGTTTTTTTCTATCTCTAAATGCATCTCATGAAATCAACAATAATTGCACTTGAGTGTTGATAATACTGCATTAACCAGAACAACAGAATATATATAAACATTTTTCTTTGTAAGTTACTATAAGCAGGGAATATTTTCTTTTTTTCTGTAATTGTATAATGTGTCTCTGTGTGTTCTGAAATTCCAACGTAAAATGATAAAATGCAACATTCCACTTTAATCTTCTATTTTATCCTGTTGCATATGTAGGCCTGATTTGGTATCAATGGAATTAATGTGAACTTAAGAGCCTTAGAGAAGGGCGGGGGGGAGATTTCTTCCAAATGTAATATCTCCTGCCCTACCAATATTCAACATTCCTGCAAGATTCGCTAAGCATGAGTCATACTGAGCTGCATTAAAAATAACTTTAAAACCCAAACTCTTGGTTCATTGGAAACCCAGCTGCTACACAGACTGGGTTAGACATAGGTTGGAATTTTAGTGGAATTAAAAAGGTACAAGTCTTCATCAAAGCATTTCCATCTTTAAATGACACCTAAAATGTTTAATGGGTTCCAAGACCAACATTAAATCTACATTCTTGTATGTTTGCATAATAAAAAAAGTATAAAATTTTGATATGAGCTACAACATTAGCTGGACTGTTGCATAAGCACTAGATATATTATCAAGTATGGGCATGTATAGTTGGAAAGACTCGGATAATAGTTTCAAGAGCACTCAGCAGTGCAGTAACCAAGGCTTAATAAAAATAACAGTTTAAATAATTAAAGAACCTTGAATTGCTATGCCCCCTTAACATTCTATATGTGATGCTGCTTTACTAACAAGTCATACTTTAGGCATTATCTTTAATAGGGAAGGAACTTTTGTGCATATAGTTCCACAAATACAGGCAGCCCTGAATATTTGGAAAATGATATTTGGTGATAAATGTATAGGCAAGTGAGAACAACATTGAGGAATGGAAGATCTACATGTTTGCTCAATTTATGGCATTGTGCATTGCACTTAATGGCATATCTGAAACTATGTGCAATGGAGCTGAGGCACATGAATATGCATAATTGATTACACTAGAATTACTTAATAAAAATAAAGCACATAATAATTGCTAAAAAGTCATACGTCAATTCAAGAATGAGGTTATCACATTGTTCATTGTATCACTCGTTTTTTGATATCAGGTATACTTTCCAGAACATTGAATTCAGTTAGATTTTTGTTTCCACCATGCAACTTTCCTGTGGTGACCATTGTGGCAGCTGAGTCACATCAATACTTAATCCATTTCAACTTGGTTAAAAACTACAATTCACCTTCATACCATTTTACCACCTTTACAATTCTTTGGAATCAGACCTTGGCTAAGCATGCTTTAAGCTCTTATGAATCTGTCCTTAAAAGAAACTGCAAATCATAAGTCTCTTGAGAACAATTTCCAGTTAGTAATGCTTGGCATTATTGTGGGCCATTCATCTTAATTGTATAAAATACCAGGCGTTCATTAGGACAATAACAAAGCACTCTGTAGCTTTTTGCTCCTTCCATAAAAGATAAACATTTACAAATATGGTGTGGTATGCTGTGAATGTGTTTCCTTGAGGAAATACATAAACATTTATGCTGCCTTGGAAAAAGCAAACTTTGGAACTGTTTAATACCAGTTGCTATTAAATAGAATGTTTGTTGCTTGGAACATCAATAGAATTTGTTCCCATTTTGCACCTTTCAGTAGTATTGCACTGTATTTGCCATAATTTCTAGCCAGCATGGCATTTGAACTGAAATCCATTCTAGTTGAAGACCTTGTATACCAGGGGTGTCAAACTCACATCATCATGGTGGCATCATGTGTCGTCTTGGGACTTTTTCCCCCTTCGGGCATGGGTGTGGCCAGTGCATGACATATCCGGCCTACGGGCCGGGAGTTTGACAGCCCTGCAGTATACTATCCAGTATGATTTAAAATAGCCTTATACGTGGTAATGTGATAATAGATAGGTGATAACATACTAGTATTTGTTCTCTTACAACAGAGAAGTATGCATATTTTACAAAATAATGAATATTAAAGGAATATTTCCTTCTATAACATGATATAAGGAAGGAACAAATAATGTAGAACCAGTTTGGTGTAGTGGTTAAGACACCAGGCTATAAACCAAAAAACAGTGATTTCTAGTCTTGCCATAGGCATGAAAGCTAGCTGGATGACCTTGGGCCAGTCATTCTCTCTTAGCCCAATCCACCTCAAAGAGTTGTTGTGGGGAAAATAGGAGGAAAATATGTTGGATATGTCTTTGAATATTAGTAGCTCAGGTTGGTAGTCATGTTATTGGTTTGAGTTCTGAGCTTGGCGATTTGGCTGCAAACATTTCATCCCCATTTGAGGAGACATATTCAGTGCACTTTGGATTGTGCTTGTCTGTAGGAGCATGGCACAATGGCAACACAGGCAGCTGGCAGTTCAAACCACTCCTTTATTGCTCCAAATTTCCCAAAATGCTCCCATGTTTCTGGGAAATCCCAGAGCAAGCCTGACTTGGCCTGACTTGGCCTGGTCTTCCCCATTTTCCTCTGAAGCCAATGAAGCCACCCCTTTGATCTCAGTTCTGGCTCATCTTCCTCCACAGAATCAGGTTCTGACGGGGGCATGACAGTAACCCAGGCAAAGTCAAGGAGGAAAAGGGAATTCCTGGAAGCCTGGTTTTCTACCAATAAATCAATAAATAGACACATTGACATTGATCCCTTCTTTCTCTCTTTCCAGAGAAAGCAAAGGCTCAGGAGAAAGTATTTGGATAATTCTAAGTGGAGATCGACCCACCACTTAGAATGAAAGAACAACATCAACCACCATCCTGAAGGCAGCATTTAAAGACCAACAAATGGTCACACTGCAAACAAAGTTATATCTTTACAGATCGTAAAAAATCAGACCACATCACACACAGCCGATCAAATCAACCTGAAATCAGACCATGACGTCATCAGAAGACATCTGAAGAACAACCCCAGCACTAATTTACATCACACAGATGGTACTCAAAATCAACAACTATGACTCAGCAACTACAGCCAGCCAATCATACAACCTGAAATCAGACCAGGACTCAGAAAAGTATTTAAAGGCCAGTCTCCCCAGATAAGCACAATCCAAAGCGAACTGAAGATGTCTCTTCCAATGGGGATGAAATGTTTGCAACTAAATCGCCAAGCTCAGAGCTCAAACCAACAACACACGTTGGATATGTTTGCCGTCTTTGTCTTATTTGTAAAAGTAATAAAAGTGGGATACAAATAAATAAAGTAAAGAGAATATTCTAGTTTCCATATCCCATATAATTAAAGACTATGATGGAAGGCTGGTTTTAAGCAATTTCCCCATCTTGTTTTCTCTGGTGGATTATAGCTCCCAATGACATTCAGCAAAAAGGACACTGAAAATAAAAATTCTACCATGATTGAAAAGGTAAACCCACAGCCCTAATTCTCTATTTCCCACTTAATCCCTTCTTTCTTTCTCTCCAGAGAAAGCAAAGGCTCAGGAGAAAGTATTTGGAGAATTTAATATGACTCAATAAGGCTTTTATACTTCAGGGCCCTAAAGATTGATCCAATAGTTTGGATTTGATAGCACCACTTAGAGAGAGTTGTCTGAAAACACCAAGTTATGAAAAGATGCTTTAAAGGGATAACCTCAAACTGACTTCCTTCCAGTTTTATAAACTTTGACTCCCAGAATTTCCCACCTATCATAACCATCAATGAGATTTCTGGGAGTCAAACTCACATCTGTAAGGCCATCAGATTTGAGAAGGCTTTCTTAAAGCATTTATTTGTTTGTTTGTTTGTTTATTAAATATATCACATCTTATCCACAGTGACTCTGGATCTAGATTAAACAAAATTTTTCATAATAATGATGAGGATCTTAAATTCATCACAGTAGCTGTGCCAGGAATACAGTTTTGTGCAAGTATATCAACATTTTGTTTTGATGTCTTTTTTAACAGAATTCTGGAAAAGACAAATTCCCTTCATTTAAGATACCATTATCTTTCTATGCTAGATTCCTTCTGACAAGCAGGGTACTTTTTGTGTATCTTAAAATATCCTGATGTTTGATATGTCTAGACAGCAGCTGCCTACTAGAACTCTCAAAGGTTTCCTCTTCTTTTTCTCTGTTGCAGAAAATGTTGTTCCCCATGAAAGGTGAGTATCAGAAGATAAAGTGTTCTTTTAAGCGTCTTCAGTCAGTCACAAAGTATTGCACAGGAATATGTTCCATTAATGCAAGGCCAAATTATCTGGAACATAATGTCTATCTTTCTTGAGACTACCTTTCTATCTTTCTGTGGTCCATTCTATAATCAGAGCCTTACCTATGCATAGGTATACACTATATTGCATTTGGCTAAATACAGACTAATAATTGCAAGCTAACAAA